GAGTGAAGAAAATAAAGAGAAAAGAGCAAAGATAAAAGAAGAGGCTGTCTGTCTCATGTGCTGGGAGAGAAGGCAGTTGGAATAGAGAAGGAACCACTAAATCAATGATGGTTGGAGGACTTGCTTGGGATGGGAGGTGTGCTGAATATAGACTAAGGACCAAACATGATGGCCTCTCAGTATCTGTACTGCAAACCACAATGTCCAAAAGTAGAGAGAGAGAGTTAAAAGGAAAGTGCCTTCCATAGAGGCAGGAGTGGGGGTAGGGTGGTGGTGGTGGGAGGGATACTGGGGACATTGGTGATGGGAAGTGTACATTGATGGAGAAAAGAGTGTTAGATCATTGTATGACTGATACTCAATCATGAAAGCTTTGTAACTGTTGCTCATGGAGATTCAATAAAAAATAAATAATAGAAGCTATAAGGAGATACACTGATTCAATAAGACATGTTTTATTTGCCAGAATGGTTAGGAAATAAACATTCAGCACTGAATCAGCTTAATTGAGATGTGAAGATATTTTGCCTACGTGGTCATGTACAAAAGTTGGTATGCAAATGTCTTCCAGCTGCTTGGTCTAAAATACAAACTAGGAAAAACACTATTTGCTCTTTTGTTTGAGAAAATGGAGTTAGTTGTTAAGCAAACAGGCTTGATTGGGGGTATTCCTACTTTGACAATCTTATCAGAGGTGATGAGTGTATATGAAGAAACTGTACGGTACAAACACTATCTCCAGGGTGATAAACAGTTCTTTAGTGTTGAACTTGATTGATCACAGTAATGACTACTTTCAGAGCAGGATTCACAAAGTATTCCTTTCTAGAAAGTCTTTATCAATTTGAGACAGAGTCTCAAAAGATAGCTCCAAAGCTGGTCTTTCTTAGGCATGTCATATTTAAAGCAGAGGAACACTGCAGTACAAATCAAACGATTAAGATTAGTCTGGGGATGGCTCACCATACAGAGGATGATGTATAAATGATCCCTGCCCTAAAGACTAGGACTTTGCTTTATTGGACTCTGGATATTGTATAAATAAAATATCATAATACAAGTTAGTATTTAGAATAATAAAGCAGTAAACAAGGCAAATGTTTTAAAGAAGGAGATTTTCTTTCTAAATAATGAGCTAATATGCATTAATTAGCACTGAGTTACACATAAAGAACAATAAAAAATTGTTAGTTTCTTTTTTGGTTTGGGGAAACCTTAATTTTGTTATTCGCAGGCACATTTTTCCTATTGAATCATTATAATTTGCAAGTCTTAAGAACATGGTAAAATCACAAGTACCATTTTATTGACACTCTTTCATAGAATTCTGGGGTAAGCAAGAACACATACAAACACATGCATACACACGGGGGATTTACATGGTGTTTTATTTACCACGAGTCTTCTAGAATTTCCTAAAACTGGACAGTCTACAGTGCTACAGTAATTGTAAAATGTTAAGTGTTTTAAGTTGTACATACAATCGTGATAACATAAAATATTAAAAGGTTTAATCTTCAGAATATTTGCCAAGGAAAGTAAAATTTCTAATTGGATTAGTGTTGTATAGGACAACTGTCTCTAAACCATCACACTCATCTATCCCAAATACATTGCATTTGCATATTTTATTCATAAAAATCCACAAGCAATACATGATCCCAGAATATAGAGCCATACTTCTCAAATAGTTCTACAAAAAAATTATAATGCCTAAAAATTTCATATAAAAGGTTACTGACAGCATAACTGTACCTTCAAAATAGATACACAGATCCAACCAAGTTTGTCGATCATTTCTTCCTTAATGCAGCCATACATATGTCCACTAAAGTAAAAAAAAAATAATTGCACCAATTATTGTCTTGCTTTGCTTTATGACTCTAGTATATATGTATGTATTTCTCAACAATATATTGTCTCATTTTTCTGTATTTATTTTTCTTTCTGTGAAAGAGGAATTATTCTGAATACAGTCTTTGAATCTTTGTTTCTTTCAAATCTTTGTTTCTTTCTTGTTGCTTTTTGTCTTGAAGATGTTTCAGAGCTATTGTGTTGCTTAGGTTCTTTTCACTATTACAATATTTTTAATATGAATAAATCATACATATTCATCCATTTTCCTACTGAAATCCATTTGGAAGGCTTCTTCCTATGTTTTACTATTACAAATAAAGAAGAAATGAAAATAGCTTATTACATATAAATTAATATACATATGTCTGTTTTCTTAAGAAACATACTTTCAGGGGACAGAGTGATAGTACATCAGGTAGGGCATTTGACTTACTTGCGGACAACCCAGATTTAATCCTGGCACCATATATGGTCTACCAAACTTGCCAGGAGTGACCCCTGAGTGCAGAGCAAGGAGTAAACCCCTAGTAGCACCAGGTGTGTACCCACATCCTCACAGAAATTAAATTTAAATAAAAGAAACATACTGGCAAATTGATTTCAAGATCCTTACAATTCAAAGTGCTTACACCAATTTATACTCACTCCTATAAACAGTGTATTAGGTTTTCACTGCACCAAATCTTTTCCACTACTTTTTTCTGTTGTTGAGCTTTTTTAATTTTTGCCAGTCTGGTGGGTGGAACATAGTACCTCATTGTGGTTTTAATTTGTATTGGCCTGATTATGAATCACAAAAAAATTGTATGTAAAATGAATTAAAATTTTCCTTCCTCTCAAACATTTGTTTCTAATTGGGTAACAATGACTTGACATTTTAAAACTATGGTTAACCAATTTTTTACTTGTAATTATTTAAGAGAGGGAATAACTCACTTTAGTTAGATGGTTCAGAGGAAGGAAATAGGTCTTACTGCTTTAAAAGTGAGTTGCATTTCTTTCAAAGGCAGAGTAGCATCTCTTTTCACATACTAGGAGAGAGAATGATGAAGCCTAAAATCATGCCTCAGACTTTTGACTTCCCTTTCAAAAATCTCATGAAATCACATCAAAACCCCTTTTAAAATAAAGGAAAAATACAAACAATTATACTCAGATGTCTGTGTATTTTTAAGTAAACAATATTTTAGAGAAGTTTTTGATTTGCAGTAAAATTAAGCAGGAAGTCCAAAAGATTTTTCATAATCTCCTACCTCAATCTTCCATCGTATACCTCTACCGCTGCATCTATCAGAGTAGACAATATATTATGATTGATAAATATACATTGTTTATGATTACTCCAAATAGATAATTTGCATTAGGTTCATTCTTGGAGTATAAATTCTATAAGTTTGAATACATGCGTAATGACCTTCATTAAGCAGTGATCAATGTGGTTGGGTCACTTCTGGCAATAATTTACCAACTAGTATACTTGCTCAATGCTCAAGTTCGTTGATTAGGTGTTCTTCAGACCCATTGATAAGATGTTTTTCTGACCCAGTGGTGTTGGTGGCCACCAGGGTAACATTCGCTGGTGCTATGAGGGGCAGAGGTCAAACTCACAGCCTTGCACACAGAATGTATTATTTCCAGATCTATAGGCTATTTTCCTGGACCTATTGTGTGTTTTACTTCATATTTTGAATATTAACTATTATTTATGGAAATAAAAATATCCTGTTATATTCAATAGTGCTTTTCTGCTGTCTTAGAAATTATTTACTGGGGCCCTAGTGGGTAGCTCAGAGGGCTGGAATGCTCTGCAGTTCAATCCCTGGAATGTCCTGTTCTACCAAGCATCACTGGGAACAGCCTCTGACCATTGGTTGTGGCCCTACCACCAAAGTTATTTTACATATATATGAGATATATATGAGAAATATATATAAGAACATGTATTTCACATGTATAACCATGAAAAGCATTAGAATTGTTTCGTTTACATAATACTTCTTCAAAGCTCTGATTTCCTCTTTTTCTCTTTATATTAGGTACATTTTTTTCAACTTCTTATGTTTCACCATGGGAACACTGTATTGTTTATATATTATTACATGACTATTATTGATCTCACAGAAACTATTGGCAATAATTCAAAGATCATTATTAGGAGCAGAAGAAAATTAATAATCCATAAATGTGAAACCAATAAAAGCCTGTCTTATTATTCATTAGCAAATATTATTAATAACATGCAAAAGTGGATTTAACAATTTTGAAGTTTTATAATCTAAACAATGTGTTAAATGTAAAGCAAAATAAGTGGGTTTATACTGTATCTTGCTTTTAACATTAGTTTTACTCTGAAAGACTACATAAACCCATTTATGTATATAAAAATATCTGTTTAATAGTGGACAAATCTAACTTGTTAGTAATATTCTATGTTCAGTGACAGTTAAATCATATTACTGACATGTTCTAGCCTCTGATTTCCTCTTTTACAAGATCTATGTAACTCTTTCCTATCGTTTACTACATTTTGATTACTTGACCCTCTTTCTGCACTTTGTACCTGTTAACATTGGTCTCACTGTAAAGACATTGATTCATTCCATCTTTCCAGAAGAAGCTTTCTCCCAAATATTTCAGCACATCCAACAGTTTATACAGCAGAAATCTTGAACATAAGCAGTCATCTTCTCCTATCATTGTTTTTGCTTCTTAATGTTCTCATTCTTAAGAAATAAGATGTTGGCAACAGTGTCCTTGGTTCCTTGCAAATTAGCTTTGTGGCAACCTAAATATAATGAATGTATTTTGTCCCAACTTCTCATTAAAATGAACCATTAAAAGTAAACATTGGGGGGCTGGCGTGATAGCACAGCGGGTTGGGCGTTTGCCTTGCACGCGGCCGACCCGGGTTCGATCCCCGACATCCCATATGGTCCCCCAAGCACCGCCAGGAGTAATTCCTGAGTGCAGAGCCAGGAGTGACCCCTGAGCATTACTGGGTGTGACCCAAAAAGGCAAAAAAAAAAAGTAAACATTGATGACTTCACAAAGAAACACATTGTTATATAACTTTAAGTTTGATTAAAACTTCCTATCCACTAATAACCGTACAAAATTCACAGGAATGTTCTCTTGTCATCCAGGGTCCTACGATGGTACAGCAACCACTTGTGCTACCACCTGTCAAAACTTTGGATGACCTTACTCTCAGGTACTTCATACATTTTCAAAGAATGGTCATGATGTAATCAAATTGATACGCTGCATTTCCAAAGATCTTGAGGGTAATACAGCTGTGTTAGCAATAGTAAGATTTCACAGAATGATATAAAGCAACAAAAAAAAAACACCTGAGAAACATTTTGAAGAGTGATTCATCCAAATATAAAGATGAATTATGCACATCTATAAAATTTGAAAAATAGTTCTTTTGAAACTTTCTAATAATAGTGCTCTCATTCATGTTTTTATTTCTTATGACAGAGAACAAGGTGTGTTTTAAACTAATTTAAATTCTATAAGATTTAGTAATGTTGTTACTGTGTCTGGCATATCGAAGTAATGTTGGGCTGGAGCGATAGCACAGTGGGTAGGGCGTTCGCCTTACAAGCGGCCAACATGGCCGACCCGAGTTCGATTCCTCCGCCCCTCTCGGAGAGCCCGGCAAGCTACCGAGAGTATTCGATATGCCAGACACAGTAACAACAAAGTCTCCAATGGAGACGTTACTGGGCCCGCTCGAGCAGTAATGTTATTAATTTAGTAGTAGTAACCACAGACAATAACAACCTGTGACTAATATTATTATAACTGTATATTTATATCTATAAAATGAATAATTCTTCATGTTCTGATATGGTAGGTCTAGGTTGTTTGCTTAAACTAAATTCATGTCCTCTTTAAAGTACTTTGGTTTTTAATTCACTTGTCACAATTATATTTCTATAAGTGCTTGTAAAACTCTTCCACAATTAGAACAGGATATACTTTTTAAATAAGGGAACATTAAAATGGAGGTTGGGTGATCTAAAACTTTAAATTGCTCTAAAAACTATTTTTAGGCACTCCTGGCATCTTAGCCAGTTTCAGTTTTCAAGCCTGGGCATAATGACAAACTTCTGCAGCATTTGGTGCTTCCAAAGAGATTACTGTTGTAGATAGCAGTGTGTTATTTATATTTTCCTTTATAATTCCATGTCAGATAATACATTAATGTGCAATTATTATTCTAACAGATAACTTTCTTTACCTATGAAATTATCTTTCCTGTCCTAATGTATTTCTAGCCACTGTCAAATGATTTAACAGTTTAATCATGTGCCATCATAATAAACTATAACAGTGTTAGTAAATGTTAAGGTTACTAACTTAAAGTTCAAAGCTGAGTGACATAATATCTTCTGTACTTAAACTGGGATTTTTAAATTCCCAAGTCATGCTGCTGAACCCAAAAATAGATCCTCTGTAATTATTCTTTGTCTGCTACAACATGTCTTTGAGAACTCATCATTGTTGTCTTATCCTTTTATGTGTCAGTTTCCTTTGCACATTATATTTCATGTGACTCATTGTTCTTAAGAGCAAGGATTGAATACTCAAAATACCAACTTATACCTCATTGCTTGATTTTTTCTCTGAACTTTTTTATGTGAAGTGATGCCAAATCAAATTTTTAAGAATTTCAGTTTTGCTTAATGAAGACATGTAGGAAAAATCATAACTGATAACTTTCTTTTACCAGTGCAAGAAGTTCTACTAGAAAAATTATTTATTTTAGTCTCCACTCTCTACATAGCCCATCTTCAGAGGAATTAAGAGGAAATTCAGAGAAAACTAAGATGACTGTCCTAAACTTTTTCTAAGTATCTTCATAATTTATTAATTATGATTTAATTAATCATTTGAAGGAGATAGATTTGACTTCAAAAATGAATGACAGAAATGTAAACTATACTCAGATTGATCTTATAAGATTTAGTGAATATTAATAAAAATGTTTTTGTAAGAAGTTGTCTTCTATAATTTTGATGTCTTTATTTCTAACAAATACAGTTTTTAGTGAACTTTTTAAATTACAGCAAGAAAGAGATTGAAAACTTATGCATAAGAAGATTGAAAAATGTATCTTAGATCCAGAGTTGTAGTTTGCAGTAATTAGTTTGGGTCACTAATATTAACCTAGCAAAAATAACATAGAACAGGGACTTAGGAATGGGAATACTGGTAATAATTTACTTATGCACTGTTTTGCATGTAAGGTCAATCACAAAATTCTTCTTAACTTCTGCCTTCTGAATCTACAAAATGAGTAATTTATCCTCTAAGGTTTCTTAGGCCAAATAGCTCTGAGATTCTCGAAACTCTTTCTCTAGCTAAGTGGAACTAAAGATAAAAGTTAGAAATAAATATTATCCGATGTTATTTGTAACCAATAATGTGGTTTATAATAGTTCAATTCCTTAAACTTTAAACATTTTTGCATTAGTCTATATACATAATCAGTAGACTGAAATGTTATGGATGATGGGTAAGAGGCAGAAAGAAAAAAATAGTGGGAAGAAATATTTCTGGCTGGATAGAATTTTAGAAATAAAGATTCTGTCTCTAGTTATTAATATAGCGGAATAATCTTATGAAAGGTCTGATCTGATTATAAGGTAGCAAAAGTATTAATATTAAAATGTTTCATGCTTACATTTTAATCCAACTGAAATTGAATCTCATGTTTAATTTTTCCAAAATTGATGAAAGTACAATAATTTTGTACATCAAAACACGCAAACATTATATAGTACTTCATGTCAAAATGCATAAATATTAATACTGTAGGTAATCAGGTTAACTGAACTACTATAAACTTTTTTAAAAGATGGGAAAAATCTCCACTTTTTATTATTCATTCTCCTATTTACTTTTTATTAAATATTTCTTAATTACAATGGTATTGATTACTGAATTTCAGGTGCGCAATGTTCTAATACTAATCCCTTCAGAATCTATGTACTTCTAATGTGCCAGTTTTCATACTGCTCTCCCCAACTTCGTCTCTGTGGAAGGTACTTTTACTAATTTCTTTGCCTCCTCTTTCCTTTTAAGTGTTGTGTTTTACTGTTCAATTTGAAACTTAAGCCAAATTAGTCTATTTGCTAAATTATAATAATTATTTCAAATTATGGAGTGCATTTTTTTGGTTTTTACTTGTTTACACACCCACACACACCTTGCTGTGCTCAGGGTTTACCCTTGGCTCTACCCTCAGAATCAACCTTAGGGACCATATGGAGCACTGTGATGGAACCTGGGTCAGTCATGTGGAAGGCAAACATCTTACCCACTGTACATTTCTTCAATCCCTAAGAAATAATTTTCTTAATAAGTATTTCCCAAAATCTCATTACCTGGGCCCCCCATCTGCCCATCTTTTGTTATTTTTTTAATTGCTACCACTATCAGGCTGTAGCCATAGTATAGTGGGTAGGGTGTTTGGCTTGCATGCGGCCAACCCAGGGGTTAGATTCCTCTATCCCTCTCAGAGAGTTCGGCAAGCTACAGAGAGTATCCTGCCCACATGGCAAAGCCTGGCAAGCTCCCAATGGCCTATTCAATATGCCAAAAACAGCAACAACAAGTCTCACAATGGAGACATTACTGATGCCCGCTCAAGCAAATCGATGAACAATGGGAGGACAGTGCTACAGTGTTACTTGTTTAAACTTTAAAATTATATATTGCTTCAAGTTATATTACACTTGTAATATAACTTACGAATTTGTGGAGATAATAGTATCATTATGTTTTACTTTCATATCTCTAAATATAAATGCCTGTATTAAAATTACTTTATGTTCATAAGTAAATAATTTTATATTTTCTTTGAAATGTTTCACGTGCAAATACTCAGAGAATTTACAAAGGTTAGAATTAGGTAATTTGATTCTGTCAACCAGAAAGTTCAGTTCCCAACATGATCCTCTTAGCACCCTCCCCGCCACCCAGAAGGCCCTCAGGACCAGGGAAGTGCTCCCGGTATCCCCAGCACTGCTGGGGGTCCAGGAAGAATCAGATATGTGCTGAGGCTCTTGCATTGAACTGCTGACCCATTTGGCTGACAAGTGCTGGTTCATCCCAGGGTTTCCTGAGCACTTCTGGGAAGCCCAAAACAAACAAACAAACAAACAAACCGACAATCAAAAAACCCCAAAGTAAATGGAAAAAAAATTATCCACATAAAGAAGGTTCTTAGGTTTTGTAAACTGAATTAAACTTTCACAACAAAGCAAAATGATTGGCTAAGAAAACAATATACATTATTTAGAGATTCAGAAGTTTATCAATTTAGTTAGAACAGTGGGGCATTAAGACCAATCTGGAAAAAAATGTAGACTTTTCATTAAACCAATGAAATTCAAAGTCTAGGATTTTTTTGTCTAAGAGCCTAGGGTCTTATACTTACCTTTATATCTGTAATTTTATTGTCATTTCCTTAGAAGTTCCTATATTATATTAGTTTTCTCTAATCCAGGACCACACAGATGTTTTCCCAAGCTTTCAGTGAGGTTATGTTAACTTATAAGAGGATGAGGGCATCTAAGAGAGAAACAGCAATGTCATAGGGACAATAAATACTGAGGACCGGTCTGGGTTGTATCAGTTCTCTCCCCTGGCTAAGGTTTTAGACATGGTTATCGATAGACTGGAGATTTGGGTGCCACCTCTTTAAAGCAAGAGATAGAATTAAGTCCAAAAAAGGAAAAATTGGCCCAGACAAACCCTAAACTCCTTTTAAATTTTTGCTCTTTTTGTTCACTTTGTCTCAGTTTTGTCTTAGTCACTGAACTATATGTTTTATGTTGTTTCCTGTCTTTTCTTTTCACTTTTCTTGTTCTCTAGCTAAATTAAGTAATTTTCAGACTACTATGAAGGCTATGAGTATGAATCTTCACAGTAGATCACAGTGCCTACTGTATCATATAAACTTAATAAATATGTTTGCAGTTTGTTTAAAAGTGATTCAGAAAAAATGTCACAAGTGTTTTTAAGGTGCATTATAAATCTATTCATATGTTTCACCATCTTTAAACAGTTTAGTAGTATATAGCTCATGCCACAACAAAAAAATGAAGACATAATATGTCTACATGATGTAACTAGTGGCTAACATATTCATGTAAAACATAAAAAGATGCACTGTCTTAATAGAGTATCTAAAAA